AAGTGACAACAATCACTATAAGTGATCTGCCAGATTAACTTCCAGGTGTAGTAACATTGCTGAGCTGTTTCTGATGTTTGCATTAATTCCCTTTTTTCCCCCTTAACATAAGGACCTGCGTCTGGTATCTTTGATCCACATGACCTCCTGATCAACATTTGTAAAAATCAGGTTTAGGCTTAACTCTGCTTTTGTTTAGACAGTAAGTTGAAGCTGAGGAATTTATTTTGAATTTGTAGAATGATTATTATTATTTAGAATTATTGTTAGACTTATTAATTATTATTTAGAATTATTTAGAATTTGTAGGCATGGATTGGAATTCTTGTTTTGAAGATTAGCTTCTATTTTAGAATAAGAATGTAAAAATGCAATGTACATCAGTTCAGGCAGCTTTTAAAATAACTTAGTTCTTCATGGAGTTGAAAAAACCTCTAGACATCTGTTTCCTTGGTAGGTAAATATTAATGTAATCCTGAAAATTTCTCTGAACATCTATGCATCTTTTATATAACCTGCTCCTCTCTGACCTCAACAGAGATAATTTCCTCTAGGAACTGTTATTATAAATACCAAGAAACGAACTCCAGATAGTATAATAACTTTCGGAGAGGTCAAACTGAATTCCTGATGCAATCAAACAGGTAGTGGAATCAGTCAGTCTGGGTTTAGCTATTAATGTGCACAGTTAAACAGTACCTATTTTGGACCTATCATTTAATTGTCTATGAGAAATATTCCCCATCTCAAATCTTTTTTGACCGGGTGTCTGTATATTTAATAGACCTCAACATCAGGCAAAAAGGCATCTGGAAAAGGAATGTGCAGGCTTTACATCATCTCAACCCTGGTTAGAAGTCACAGATGCTATAGCTTAGTTCATATTCAAATACTAATTTTTACCACACATTAGACACTGAAGGAAATGCAGCACAGAGAAAATAACCCTCTGAAAAAAGGGAGAGTGGCTTAAAATTCACCATCAATGTGCCACAGTATCACCAAGGACCAAGGCCTGCTAGGTGCATCAGAAGGGATTTGAGTTTGGTGCTTTTAGCAATCCTCCATAATTTAATGCCGAGTGCCAAGTTAATAAGAAGGTCACAATGGCAAATTTTGCCTTTCAGCCACCTTGCTAGAACCACAAACCTTGCCAGGTACTGGCATGATTTTGTGCTGGTGTTAATTCAGGTGTTTCAGACATGGGCCAGGGAAGGTGACAGGTACTACCTGGCTGTGTCACATGGTAAGCAGGGAAACCTTTCCCTCTTAGCAGATGTACTACAGAGTTTGGGGATTTCAACCCTTTCTGATGCAGGATGCAGGAAGCTGTTCTATGGATGAAAAAAACCATAGTTTAAGCATTTCATGGTTCAGAAGCAACTGAACCTTAAAGATTTACAAAATTTTTGAGGCTGGGACGGAGAAGAAAATATTTACATCCTTTCATTTAGAAAATGGATTTTACTTTGTGTCATTTCAATGCCTTTTACAGTTCACACTTTCAACAAAATTTCATGCAAGGAAAAGACAAACAAAGTCCTACTGTGCTACCATTGTAATCCCAAATGAACTAACCAGCTGCAGCCAAGGGAACAAGAAAAAGAAAACACATTTTTTATGTCAACATATAAACAGATGCCTTGTTGGAAGCAGTAATTGTTGGAAAACACTTTTGTGAAATACAGGAAACCTCAAAATTTGCTACTGATTAACTCAAAGTTCAGGGATAGAAATTCAAGCTCAAAAGCAGTAAAGCACTTGAGGAAGGTGAGAACTCCTGCTGGCTCTTGCAGCTAAACTGAGGTAGGGCTGTGTTTTGTTTTAGTTAAGCTGGAAGATGCAGCCTTTCCTTAGTCCATGTCCTAGTTTATGCAGCTCCACCAGAAATACTGGCCAATGTGCCTATCTTCACTGCAAATGAAAGACTGTCCAGGGGAAGTCAGCCTTGCCTTTCAGCTCTGGGTTGAATTTGTAAGGGCTTTTCCCCGCTGGGCTCTGTCGGGGTCAGCTGCAAGGGCTGTCCTGGCAGCCAGCTGTGAGTGCCGGCTGCAGAGGGAGCACTGCTGCTATCTAAGGGGATGTGGCACAGGGGCAAGGGTTGCTTGCTGGGGAATGTTTGCTTCCAGTGGCAGGAAGAAGAGCTGGATAAACAGGTATGAAATCAGAAAAGAAAAGCCTCCAGGAAGTGTATTAAATATTTAAGAAGGATGTTACCGTTAATAGCATTAAATGCATACTAAGGTTAAGAAGGCTGAGAAGCCAAGCTTTGTCTAAGATTCTTATGTTGTGCCTGTTCTCACCTGTGCAGAGTCAGGGAGCACTGGCACTTCTAGAAAGAGGCAGAAAACCCCAGAGTTTGCATTGGCAAAGAGAGGAGATACTTATTTTGTGATTCATGACATTACTTCAGAGTTGTGCTGACTTCAGCTGTTACAGTAACAGCACTCATCACTGAGTGAAGACTCCTGGGGAATGTGGGCAGGCTGTGACGTTCATCTCCCTGAAGGGGAAGCAAGTAGCAGTTGCACAAATATCCCCTCTGAAATGCCAAGGGCACTGGAAACCTTTACAAAACATCAAAAACTTTTCAGTGACAGAGCCATACGACTATCAAATGACAGAAAAGCTCACAGGAATTGCCTGAATGAAGATTTAGCAAGTTGTCTACAGCATTTTAGCATGATCCGTTTTGAATTTCATTTCATATGGGTTTTTTTCTAAGAGAAAATGTCACTGAAGAGGCAGAAGGCTGTCTCCAGCTCTCACCATCATTTGCAGTAGTCATTGCTCATTTACATGAACAGGAAAGAGCGAGAAAGTGACAAACAGCTGATGTCCCCTTTATGCAGCAGAAGTCTCCCAGTGCTGCCCATTTTAAGGCCTGCAGGGAAAGCAAAGCCTAGGAACCAAATTCTCTCATAAATAATATTGCTACTACCCATTTTATTTTTCTCCTTCAAAGTATCAAAATAAACTTACAAACTGTCATCCAAAATTTAGCTATCCCTCCAAGTGCCCTCAGGCTAATGGAAACAAAGTTCTGTAGCAGTTTTGCTAGGTGGACTGCAAATGATGAGACCCTAAAGATAACAGGGCTGCAACCTACCTCAATTCAATGATTCCAAATTCCTTCTTAGGAGACAGACCTGGAAAACCACTACTCCCACAGGTGTTCATGCCCCCACACAGATGTTTCAAACTTCAGATGTGAAAAGGATACAATTTCCTCTGCTGAAGTGTGCTTCTGTGTCTCCAATCAGCTGGTTCTTCCTTTGCTGAAGACAGTCTCTGGCAAGTCTCAAAGACAAATCATGTCTGACTTTGGGGCATGGACATGCCGGCCGTCTTTTAGGAATTTAACTCTGCTGAAAATGAGACACCTGAAGGCTTTGGTTTCTTTACACTTTCTTTACACACTAATCAAGCAGCAGGATTGTCAGTCCATTCCCACAGAAATGACCCTTAAAGTCTTTTCCAACCCATTTCACTCCAGCTGCTCTTCCAAGAAGCTGGTGCTTGGCTTGTCAGCTGTTTCCGCACTTACCTCCACACTGGCACAGGTTCAGAGGTGTAAATCGCCATTGTCACGCAAGAGTCCCACTCCCAGTGTGATCCCAGCTTCCTGGAACAAGTTACAGCAAACACCAAGGCAGCTACCCTGGATTCATGGACATGTTACCATGGCACTTTCTGAGCTGCCATTCTCCCTACACCAAACATGAGTTTATTGTTTCTCCTGAAATATCAGAAGTGGGTAAATGTTTTGGGATAACACTACGGACCAAGAAGAGGGTTGTTCCGCTTTGATAGAACTTCATCTTCTTCCACAGGTGAAAAATGCTGGCTAACAGTATCTTCCACTCTCCATTTCAAGCTGAGTACTTGGCACTTTCATTCTGGTAGATCCAGAGTAGCTTTTCTGCAGTGAGAAAAAGCAGCTCAATGGGAGGACAAACAAGATTTTACATGCAGCCTGATGGAGAACTGGCTGACATCCAGCACTGAATGACAACATGTCAGAAGCTGCCCTTCGTGA